TCTATCTATCTATCTATCTATCTATCTATCTATCTATCTATCTATCTATCTATCTATCTTTCAGTTAGGGCTTATCTGTGTAGTCCTGGCTGTCCTGGAACTCTGTAAACTAGGCTGGTCTTGAACTCAGAGACTCCCATGTGTCTGTATCCCAAGACCACTATGCCTAGATTGTTCTTCCATCTTTTTTTTTTTAATTAATTAATTGATTAATTTTATTTTCTCAAAGACAGGGTTTCTCTGTGTAGCCTTGACTGTCCTGGAACTCACTCTGTAAACCAGGCTGGCCTCCATCTCACAGAGATCTGTCTCCCTCTGCCTCCCAAATTCTGGGATCAAAGCTGTGCACCACCATGACAGGCCATTTTTAATGTTTCAATCCTGCTTTATATTGCTAGTTTTGCACCTTTGGGCCATTTGTTTGGTAACTACAACAAGTACTCCTTGGACACAAGCACTTGTGTATCTACAGTTGATCTGATACTTGGATTTCAAGTGACTAGTTGTAAGTAGGGTAGATAGTCTGCATGTGCTGGAGGCTTCCAGGCGGGACAGGAGATTTTATGCTAAGGTGTGAAATTTAAAAAATTGTACAAATCTGTTGCTTTCTTTTACTGAGGTTATTTTTGTTTCTTTTGTGTGTGTTGGAGGTCTGTTTTGCCCGGTATATAGCTTTGCAGTATGTGCACGTGCCTGGTAGCCACAGAAGTCAGGAGAGGTTATCAGGTCTCCTAGAACTGGAGTTATAGATGGTTGTGAGCCACCATGTGAATGCTGAGAATTCACCTTGGGTCTTCTGGAAGAGCAGCCAGTGCTCTTTTTTTTCTTACTTCCTTCCTTCCCTCCTTCCTTCCTTCTTCTTCTTTTTTTTTAAATTATTTTTTATTTTTGTAAGTTTGAGGCTAGCTTAGTTTACAAAGTGAGTTCCAGGACATCCAGGACAACAACAGCAAAGAAGAAAGAAAGAAAACAAAACAAAACAAAAAAACAAAGAGGGTCTGGCTGTTGTCCAGGCTGGCTTTGGAGTCCCTGTATATGTAGCCCAAGTTGGTCTGTAACTCTGGTTCCTTTTACCTTATTTACCCAAGTGCTAGGATTACAGACATGAAACACTACCTACTTTAAGGTAATCGATTTAAAATTTAGGAATTGTTCAGACTGGGGATCTATTTAAATGGTAGAGTGCTTGCTGTATGTAACACTACCTAACAAATACTTTTTGGAATTTTTAATTTACTATTTCAATTTACTATTTACTAATTCAATTTACTATTTAATTTACTATTTCCTTATCAGATAAGGAGGAATTTTTTATTTTTTTAAATCTAATACAAATAAGACAGATTGATTTTAAATTGTCTTCTACATTTGAAATGTTTTCTTGGGAAAAGAAAAACCTGAATACTATTTTATGAAGTTAAAACTTTTTTTTAATGTTTTTTTGATGTGTATGGATGTTTTGCTTGCATGTATATCTCTGTACTATTTATGTGTAATGCCTTCAGGCCAGAAGAGGCTAGAAAAGGGCTTTGGATCCCTTGGGATTGGAGTTCTGGGTGGTTGTGAGATGCTGTGTTGGTGCTGGGAGTCCTGGAAGAGCAATCAGCAACCTAAACCACTGCATCTTCTCTCCAGCCTCTATTTATGGCTCTTTATATCAGAGATTAGTTTCAAGGAAGCCCTCGTTGTTTTAATGTGCAGATAAAAAAATGTAACTAGTGCAATCTGTGAAAAAGGTCCTTCCTTCCTTCCTTCCTTCCTTCCTTCCTTCCTTCCTTCCTTCC